AAATGACTTTTGGAAGTGCAATTTGATTTCAGTTTTAATAAAGTTGAATTAACGTAACCTGTCATTTTTTCTCTTCAAAGTGTACACTTGCAGGTGTTGATTATAATTAATTTACTGTTAGGCCCATTAAACAATAATAAGGATAAACAATATTTAAAAAGTATATAATTATCTTACCTCTTACAGCAACACTTTACTTGAAGGGGTGTGCATAAGACTGACATGACACCTTCATAACCATGACATGACATATGTCATGAATATGAAGTAGGGTTTATGCATGTTTATGACAACTGTCATTAAGTGTCTTTCGCTCAATAATGACATTTTGGATGCAAATATGACATTGTTTAAGATGTCTTTGTTATGACATCTTGACATAAACCATAACATCATAACCTGTCAGAGTCTTTGTCATGACAACTAGACATAAAATTAAGTTAAACTGTCATGTGGTTGGTTTTGACATTGGCTGTCATAAGGCCATTATAACTGTGTCATGAATATTTTTCGTGACCTCAACTACAGTGGTACACATTGAATTTGTCATTAAACAGTTATAATGGCTTCATGACAGCCAATGTCAAAACCAACCACCTGACAGTTTAATGTAATGTTAACCAATAAAGCTAAGTGGTTTCTTAAGTTTGATAATTAATCTGCTATGTCATGTTTATGACAGGTTGTGTTGTCTTAGTAATGTCAAGTTGTCATGACAAAGACACTGACAGGTTATGATGTTATGGTTTATGTCAAGGTGTCATAACAAAGACATCTCAAACAATGTCATATTTGCATTAAAAATGTCATAATTGAGCGAATGACACTTAATGACAGCTGTCACAAACATGCATAAAACTTCCTTCATATTCATAACATGTGTCATGTCATGATTATGAAGGTGTCATGTTAGTCTTATGCACACCCCTTCAAGTAAAGTGTTACCATTGTCAAGGTCGTCTCTCAGTTGCTGAATGTCGCGCAACAACGTCGCTACAGCCCTGTCGCATCTTACAATTCTACGTTGTTACAATGTTGTGAGCAGACAGCGACGTTGCCATAGCAGAAATGCAACGTGCCACAGACGTTGCCACTACGTAATGTGTTTGCAATGCAACAATAATAAAAACAATGCATTGACATTTACTTTTTACTTTTGATACTTAAGCATTTTTAAAAACGAGTACTTCTGTACTTTTATTTAAGTAAAAATCGGCCTTTACAACTTTTACTATAACGGAGTAATATTTGACCAGTATACTATCTGTATTTTCACTCAAGTAAGGAAGTTGTGTACTTTGTCCACCTCTGTTTAAGTGTTACAGTAAATGTGTTGGTCTAAATGTTAAACAAAATGTTTTCTTTATTATTTTGTTTTATCATGCTTGCATAGATGGGTCATTTAGAATAGGGGTCATTTTAGACCCATGTTGTGCATTTAAAACGGTTTGCATAGCGTGTGCATCAAAGAGTTTAAAAATTGTAACAATCTTTTAGCAAATTTATAACCTTATAATTGACAATATAGTATGTTTTTGCATACACTAATATAGTTAGGGTTATCACACAATATTCAGTATTGATTTTGATAAATAAATTGTGCAGCTTCTGCCCCTGCTCTGTCTTATTTTAATGGCTTGTGTATCTATTGTGAAGAATTGTGAATCAACTTGCCCAAGAACAAGGCTGACACAAAGATAAAGATAAAATATCTAGTGGTTTGGAAGCAGATGGAACAGTGATTAAAGCATAATTATCAAGAAGCTCCTATTCACAGACAAGCTTATTAGGCATAATTAATCTTGAATGCTACAGCAGGTTTTCAATCTTTCACTTTGAAAAAAATTTATATTATAAATATACCAAGAATAATTAAGTTACATTATTATGAGTCTTTTTTTCCCTACTCGTTATTGTCTTGACCAAGTAGAGTTTTTGTTTTTTACATTAAAAAGTATTTAAAAACATGTAATCTATGTGTTGTTTCGTTCAATTTGTCTATAAAGAGATATGATCATTAATAAATAGTTCATAAAGACTAATTAGGATATTTAAGTAGCTTTTATAAACGTGCCCTGAAAAAAAAAAAACATTACCTGGTTTGCATCTTGAGACAAAACAATGACACTGACACATTTTAAGATTTGTCAATGCAAGTTACTTTCAGTTAAAACAGCTCAATAATGCATTTTAGTCTAGGACTTATGCCTTGTCTGTGAAACCATACTTTTGTACTTTTTAAGTAGATTCGTTCCAATATTCATGTCTGGTACAGATGAATCACTAAACTTTAAAGCTCTAAAGTAGCCTAACCAACTAATTGCAAATTTTTAAATGTCTTAACTTAAGATAATTCTACGAAAAATTATTTCAGATCTTAATTTTATTCCTGTTCTTAACTGTTAATTTGCAGTTCAATGGCAGAACGTCTAAGAAATAGTCCAGTTTGTCAGTAAATCACTGATCATATAAGATTAAGAGTTCATATCAGGAATAGTTCATCTCTAAATTACAAAAATATTAAGCAATTAAAAACCATGCCACAATCTTGCCCTGTTTAATTTTCTTTTTCTGTCACTATTTTGCCTGAGTTCTAGTTCATTCTGTGTTTAATTAGTCTTGCACCTGTTCTTCTGTTGAATGTATTCTCTCTGTGTTTACTAATTAAGTAACTTACTCTATATACTCAGGTACTAATTGTGGTGTCGTTTGACTTGTATCCTCCGTCATTTCATCCCAAATGTCTAGGCCTTGACAGCATCCAAGACAATAGGATTCTACAGATGTAACTGTACACTGCTGACCATGCACATTTCTCTGAATTACACAATAACACTAAAGTGACCCAAGTTATGAAGTCTACCCTACTGTACTGTTAGATTTATTTATTTATTTATTTATTATAATCAAATTTTTATTTATTTTACTCATTTATATGTTTTCATTTTTAATTATTTTACTCATTTATGTTTTCATTTTTAATTATTTTACTCATTTATGTTTTCATTTTCATTTTTTAATCTTATTTTTATTACTTTTAATCTTTATTCTTTTTTTTTACACTGTTTTTCTCTCAATTTTCCATGACCTTCCTAGAACTCTCTTGCGACCCCTGGGGGGTTCCTGCCTGGATCCCAGTATTAAAAAACCCTGTGAGAACCAGAACCTGTCATCCGCATTGAAGTACTTTAATTATCCACAAGAGGGAGATATAATACAATTTTTATGTCACACTGTCTCTCGCTCTTATTGCTGTCAGAACAGTAAAAGATCATTGTGTATGAGATCTAATATGGATCTCCAAAACCTCCTGATAAAAAATATTTTAAATCTTTTTTTTGTTATTTTTTCCTCTGCACATATCTGAAATGCTAGATCATTTCTAAACTATTTTAAGAAATCCAAAAAGCAAAACCTGCAGCTTTATATTACACTCGAAGACATCTGAGAGATGTTCTTCTTCTGACTCCTCCTCAGGAACAGGTGTTGTGAACTCTGTAATCACTGGTCAGAATCATGTGAATATATAATTTGAAACTTATTTTTTAATACTTTTATTTTTAACATGTAAAACTTTTTAATGCTGAAAAAAAAAAAGACTCTGTGTAGCCTATTATACCTTTAAAGGATTGACACAGTGACCCAGTCGGTTAAAATATAATCATGATAAACCTACAAAGCTTCGTATTAGTCCAGTAGCTAAGTAGTGGGCTATACCACCACATTCTAGTGGTTCAGAAAGATACATTTCTGTATGAAAACCCATTCAGTCTAGTCATTACAGCAACATTGCATCTGGAAATTTACAGCTAGGAATATGATTTTTATCATTATATCTAAATGTTCCTGAAAATGTCGTTTAATAGTATGAACATAATTATTGTGAAATGAATCAGTAAACTCCTAGTTGTAAATGATTGTGCAACAAATAGCTTAACACAATGTGAGGAACCGTAAAAATCGCGGTCGTTAATATAGCTAAAATCTGTTTTTCTGGTAGCCTAGCCTATTTTTTTATTCCTCTTCATTTGTCCCCAAGAAATTTTCAACACACAAAAAAAATATTAAATGTAGCTAAGTAATCTAAAAATACAATTATTCTGACAAGAGAATCTGCACAGACACAGTGATGTCAAAGCGAATGGGCGCGTCTGCACCACAGACCACACCGTTTTATTGGTGCGCGCCCACACAAGATCCATACACACACACACAGAGAGCACAGAGACGCACACACTCACTCACAAGGTATGAGGTAATTGTTTGGTCACGTGACTCCTGCAGTAGCTGTCAAAAGTGATACAGCAGCGCATCCTTGACCAGCCTGCCCGCTTCCAGCTGATTGGACTGCGATCAGGTGTTAGGGATCATCTAGAAAGTGCAGAAACGAAAAATATGACTTGTGATAGCAACAACTTAAACTTATAAATAAGAATACCAACTGCTAATAAAACCCCGTTCTGCCCAAGTGAAAGCAATTATAGCGTTTCATCAAAGATTATAAATTGCTGTATAGCCGCTAAGTCCAGTGTTAAAACATTACGGAGCAAACAAATGTTATTAAAGCAGTTAATAAAAACAATTTATTTCATGTTTAGCCTAAATCACAATAATTTAACCTTTAAATCGTTTTGATCATGAGTCAGACAACCGAGACAGTGAGTGAATTGGCATGCAATATTTAGTGAAAGCATCCTACTGTATTACTGCAAATGTATTATTTGAGCCCACATATGTTTGGAAAATAGCAGCAGCCTATATCATAGTTTTCTGAAGTACTTTTTATAATCCTGAACTTCCTGCCCTTTTAATGGGAAATTAGTCTCAGTCTGACTCTCAGTTTAATCATGGCTGGTTGATTCAGACATAGGCCTATATAACCAATTTTTATAGTTGATCCCTTGATTTAGAGTTATTACCCCGCCTATGTCTCAAGTCAATCCGCGTTGGGCTCAAGAGTCAGAGGAGGTGATACTGGGGTTGGAAAGTAGGGAAAGTGGGACAGCGACAGCGGTGAGGGAGTGTTGTGCACGCGCTTTTCAGGTTGATGTCTTTACAACGCGAAAGTTATCGCTTGCTTCCATCTCGCTGGAGCGGCACACGCTCGGCGTGTGCCAGTATTTAAAGGGGGAACACCTCAGTCAATGCCAAATTTGTGAAGCGGGGTGAGGAAATGGCATTTCAGCTGTTTTTGCAGACCGAGCGCGGCGCTGCTGCTGGCGGTGACGCCTAAATTGAGCTCTAATAAAGGTGGATAATCTCTAGCAGATGAAGATGGTCAATTCAAGCGTTTTGTTATCGTCATGGCAAACGGAACCGGCAGCATCATGTTGAAATGCGTGGTTGTCGGCGACGGCGCCGTTGGAAAAACTTGTCTGTTGATGAGCTATGCCAACGACGCCTTTCCAGAGGAATATGTGCCCACTGTTTTTGATCATTATGCAGGTAAATATACCAGCGTGTTCCTGCGACATAATGAACATGAATCAATATTTCAGTGTGTATTTGATATATTAATGTATACGTTTATTTAGTGGTATTTACAAGACCTCGAAAGTCACTTGAATTGTGTTTCGATAATGGAAACCACCTGTGGGCTGAGGATGCAACTGGTGCACATCTGCATTCTTATGGCACGATTCATCACGTTTCCTTGATCAGAAATAAATAAAAAACTATTTACTTTCTTCTTCATTTGATTAGATGAAAATAAAACCAAATTGAGTGCGTCTTTCACTTGATGAGAAATGAATAAACATAAATTTGCATCCCTCTTTTACTTGAACAGAAATAAATAAAACCAAACTGAGTATCTCTTTCTCTCGATCCTAAATATAACAAATGTGCATCCCTCTTTCACCTGATCAGAAATTAACATCAATTTGCATTTTTCTTCTTTAACTTGTTCAAAGATCAACAGAGAAAACAAAGAAACAGCCTTTTTCTGTAATCAAAATGAAAGGGTTGTCCTATTTAAAATGATCCTGAATCATATTTAAAATAATAATTTGTGATTTTGTTTTCAGTGAGTGTGACCGTTGGGGGAAAACAGTACCTGCTGGGGCTGTATGACACTGCAGGCCAGGTAGGGTTAAACCATTCTTCTCTCATTGGCCTGAGGCTTTTTCATTAGCAATAGTAACGCGATCAATACAGGCAAAGTACATGGTGGCCTGTTCAAATCCATTCCGAGTCTTTTTGGCATCATATGCATCTGATTTAAAGGGATCATTCCTCCAGAAATATATTCTGTCATCATTTACTCACTCTCATGTCGTTCCAAACCCGTATTACTTAATATCTTTTATGGAACAAAAAAAGATGATGTCAGTCAGGCTGGCAGTCTCAGTCGTATTCGTTATATGGAAACAGATGAAATTCTGTCTACGTCTCCTTTTGTGCTCCACAAAAGAAAGTCATGTGGTTTTGGAACAAGATAAGTGTGAGGGTTAGATTACAGAATTTTCATTTTTGAGTGAACTGTCCCTTTCATCACCTCTGCCAAACTCAACAGGTGAACACACACTGGTGACTCTCAGAGGAAAGATCAACACGTGAAGCAGTGGGAATGCAACTGCAATCTGAAACCTTTACTTCCTCTGTTTTTGTGTCTTAACCAAGATGTTGAAAGTGATCATGAAAGAAGATCTTAATTTGCCATAAGGCCTTTGACAATTGTTCTCCAAAATGGTCTAGTCTAAAGAAATAAGTATCTGGAGTTTTAGCTGTGTAAATGGTCATTTTAAAACCTGTATTCTGAAAGGCAAAGGCTTTGCCTAAATCTCATACTTTGTTGGTACTTCTTTTGAGTTTTGAATAACCAACTACTTCACAAAAAGTAGGCTATGTTTTATATAGTGCGAATGTGTGTCCGGACGCATTACATTCATCATGTTGTCTTTGTCATGACAGTTCAGTTGCATCACTTCACTTCCATTCACAAAGCCTCTTAGCCTCATGGGATAGTAAAGTTTCCATTGGATGCACACTTCAGAATCTCACTGGAAGTAGTCGGCCACACGGATACTTTTTTGACTACTAGCCTATTTTATGAATAATTCTGACACGCTAGCGGCAACTCTTTTCCCATACTGTTTTTTGCCACTACAGTAGTAGGGAAGTATGCTTATTTGAATGCAGCCTATGTCCATGTCCAGAATTAACTTTTAAGTATATGTGACCCTGGATCACAAAACCAGTCGCACGGGTATATTTGTGGCAATAGCCAACAATACTGTACATTGTATGGGTCAAAATTATCGAAATTTTGTCAATTTCCTACCGTAAAAAAAAAAAAAAAGAAATGTATATTTTTGTGAGTGAATGCAGCACAATCGCGAACATAAATGGACAACTTTAAAGGCGATTTTCTCAATGTTTCGATTTTCTGCACCCTCAGATTCCAGATTTTTTAAATAGTTGTATCTCAGCCAAATATTGTCCTATCATAAACCATCAATCAATGGAAAGCTTATTTATTCAGTTTCAGATGATGTATAAATCTCAATTTCAAAAAATTGAGCCATGTGACTGGTTTTGTGGTCCAGGGTCAGGCTGTCTAATTGAAGTTGTTTCCACAACAGTGCACTACGTGTCGGTATGCATGAATCTACCAAGCACCAGCTGTAAATGTAGATTGAACTCTAAGCATGATGCCTTCTCGCCCAGGGCCAATAATTCAGAAGCGGTACAGGCTTAAACTGAATATCTCATAGTCTTTGATCTCTGATGAATGATTTATTTACTTTGGATTCAATGTCTTGTGAAACTTTCTTTGCCATTCTACAGTTAAATAAGCATCAGACAATTTCGTTTGAACAGTTAAAGATGGCTGATTTAAATTAATTTTGCCATGTAGTGTTAGTATAGTTTAATTCATCTGATATATTGAAAACGAAGTCCTCATATTTTTTTCATGCTGTTTTAATGGTGATCATGAAACAGACAAAATTATGGCCAGGACTTCAGGATATACCAAAAAATCCACTTTGAAGCTCTTAGTTCTTAAACTGTGGAATAGTGCATCTGATTCAGTTGGCTTTTTTCCATTGAGCGTCATCCTTTAAAAAAGACAAAAAATGTGAGTGGTGGGCCAGATGTGTAGAAGTGTCACTGAGGGCCAAGTGGTGGGGTTTAGTTTTGAAGCAGTTCAAACACCGAAAACCCTTCCCACATGCAGCCTCTCTCAACAGCTGGCACCAGTTAGTACCGTACAGAACCGATCACTTGATCAAGAGGATTCATTTAGCTGAAGAACAGGAAAGAGGGTTAAATTTAAAGCTGATGTTCAGGACAGACTTAAAGAAGCAGTTCACCCAATCATTTAATCACCCTCATGTCTTTTGAAACCTTTGCTAAACGCAAAAGAAAAATTTTATGGTGCCACAGCCAAGCTGATTTTTACAACGAAACTAAATGGTAACCATCACTGTCAAGCAGGATTTTGAGTTAATAACTTAGATTTCGGGTTGTCTCTCACACAAACCTATCATGGCTTTGTTGAGCATGAGCCATATGGACTACTTTTATGATTATTTATGGTGCTCTGAAACTTTGCCAAATTCCATTTTAACGGTTTAATTAAATTTGAATACTCAAAATCCATGTCTAATCAATTGAATTCATAAAACTTTAACAGTATAATAATTTATTAATTTTTAAAATAATAGCCTAGGGCCTGATAAATAACACGCATAACATGCAGACTTCAGTAGCAGTCTTTTTGTGCTTTAATATTCACAATACATCCAATATCTTCTCTGCACATTTCCAGGATTGATTGAGCCACACACACACACACACACAAACAAGATGCATGAAGAAAGATCATAACCTTCACTGTTCACATCCACATTACATTCCACTAAAATGTCATGTACTTTTGGGGCCAGTATTTATGTAACTATATCAACAACAACAAAAAATAGTGTGTGCGTGTATTTTAGTTGCCAAACATTTTAGTTCTTTGAACCTGAAATGTATGAAAGTAATAAAAGGCCTTCTGCAGATCAGTGTTTGAAATATCTAATTAGCTGTTTATACTTTTAAGGCCAGTTTGCACCAACAGACAGCCAAAGACACTTCATCGGGTTTTGTCAGATAAGTGTGCGTTACGCCTATTGCCTTTGGTCGGCTCTCATTTTTGCAGATCATTTTTTTTAAACTCCATTTGCCGGGTCTTGGAATGTCTGAGAAGTGACGTGCTGTAATCTGGTGACTGACGACGTCTGTCGGCGTAGTGTGAATTGGCTTTTAGACATCTCAAATCTATAATTCGTTTTTCCAGCCGTATTATTGTGCACTTGACTACAATATTCCAATTTATATATTCCATAAACATTCTGTTCTGCATTGACTAGATAAAAGACATCATCAGAATTCCCTTTGTATGACAAAGGGTAACTTGCCCTTCTCAGACATGTGTCAATGAGTGTGTGCTCCATATAGCCATGTATTTTAAACCTCACTGGGAGGAGTGAAAGGAGAGTTTTCTGGCACACTTTATGCAGTGAATAAATGGTAGCAATATTGGAAGAATAGGCAGATGTTCATTCTATTTTAGCTGTTAAAAATAGTTTCAAGCCTGTGATTGCTAAGCAAGAGGGCGTCCTTTAGCTCATAAGCAGATACATGTCAGTTGGATGTCTTCACAGGCTCGCCGTCTGATTGGTTCTGACATGCTAATGGCCTCAGGAAGAGTCAGAGAGTAAGCTGGATAGTGTCAGTAAAGGGGCAAACTCTTAGATGTTGACATCTGTCTCCCAGCTCCGTCTCAACCATCTAATCCTGACCTTACGTCCTCTACTCTCAGTCCTTCACCTTTTTCTTTATTCACTTGGGTGATGTTTTAACAGGGCGTTGAGTTGACAGGTTTTTGATAAGCCTCAGAGAGGGAACTGGGCCCCAGATGTGAAGCACAGCTGCAGTCTGCATTGCTTTTTCAATCCCACCCCAGTGTATGTGACTGCCTTTTGCCCTTTCTGGGGCTCGGTCTACCTCATGACCAGCCAGATAACTAGAAGGGATTTTAAACCATAAAATGTTTCATATTTCTGAAGTGCTCACATAATATGTTCCTTTTATTCGCAAACTGCTTTGAATTCTTACTGGAGTCTATTTCTGGGATAAAAGAAGGACATTGAGTTTGAGCCACACACAAACACACACATATTTATGTCTTTTATTAGTGGAGACAGGACTGAAAAAGCACACAAATTGCACTGAATGAAATTTTGACTTTTGATAATTACTTTTATGTTGGGACTGATACTCCTGTAGGCAAGCACCAAAGTTTTGAACTTGATGCAAGCCGTAACTGGAAGCTTGTGCAGAGAGATAAATGGTGTGGGACATGGGCTCTCTGGGTTCATTGTGTGTGTGTGGTCTTACTAGGCATATGTGACGACAACATGTCACCCGCCTGTACTGATGTAGTTTCCCTTTACTATTAGACGTGCTACACCAGATGAAGTGTTTGCTAAATTCCATAATGGCTATTAAGCTAGATCAATAGGTATGTTTAGGTAACTACACTTTGTGTAGGTAAGTTTTTAGAATTTTTCAGAAATGTGGGTAGAGGCATGTTTTACCATCTAAGCCTAGGTTGGAATTTCAAGAGTAAATCAGAACAGTATAAAAGCTAAAGCAGTAGTGTAATTGCAGAAAAGAGAAAAGGATCATTCGTAATCCTTATGAAAAAACTGCTCACAGAAGTGACCATTTATTGAAGATTTTAATGGTCTCCGAACATCAGGCAAAGGTTTGAAGCATTCCACCACAGCGGGACAGAGAGCGTGAAGGTTCTTGTTATTGAGTCTGCATCATTGTGATGGTGCATCAGGTATGGCTTACTCACTGACCTCAAAGGAAAGTGGTAAGAAGGAGGATGCAGTCCCAGAGTCAGTCATTAATGCCTGGTCAGAGCCTTGAATTTGATGTTTGCAGTTACAGGGAGCCAATGGAGTGAGACCAAGCATTCTGCCACATTCTGGATCGTAGCTGCAGACTGATGCCAATAAGGCCACTGATATTTTGTCTATCCCTACAGACCACATTTGATCCCAACTCGGGTGTCATATTGTTGGG